AAAATTTATTTAATATTAATATAAATATATAAATTCTTTCATATTTTGTAGGTTTTTGACGGACAATGTTTTAGGACAGAGCGTTGGGGATATCATTCGGGCAAACTTTCGGCATGCCCACCCCAACTGGACTTTTACACCGGACCACGTTCGCATTACGTTGTTCAAGTGTTTCGCGGTAATTAGTTTCTAAATTTTTTTAAAAAATTTAATTCATGCATTGATAGTATATATAAATTAAAGTACTAATTATGTTTTTTAATTTTTCATAAATTTTTTGTAGCAAAAATGGAATTGGTCCATTGGTGTCAACGAGGAGGTCAAATCTGGGTTCTACAAAAAGGCGAAGCAGCGCCTCAAGAACATTGTTGGAGATTGGAAAGACGACTGGAGGCTAAGACAGGATGACGTAAAACCAACCTACCTCAGCAATGACGATTGGGTTGGTTTGGTGGCGTTTTGGATGAAGCCTGAGTCAAGGGCGAAGTCTACCAAGTACTCTGCGGTCAGGTTGACCAAAGATGCTCAAGGTAACCCGCCAATTCCTCATACTTCCAGGCAGACTCCACATGCTGGGAGGGCACTTGAAATTGTAAGTGTTTGAATATTCTTGACTTTATTATAATTTTTTAATGTAAATTTAATTTAAATTATTTTTTTTTATATAGGCTGCCAAAGAAGGAGCGCCACCATCTCTCGCTCGGCTATACAAGATTACCCACCAGCGTTCTGATGGGACTTTTGTGCATCCTCAAGCAGAGAAGATCTACAACGAGGTAGAGGCTCGGATCGAAGAGGTCCAAACTCAGATGTCGCAACAAAATCCGGATGCTCCACCGGTCCAACTTACAACCATCGACCAAGACAAGATTTTCGAGCAGGTAAATTATTTTAATTTTTAACTTTATTAACATTTTTAATTTTTTATTAAATTTTCACATATTTACTTAAAATTTGATCTTTTGTAGGTTGCTCCGAAGAAAAGGGACGTATTGTTGGGATCGGGACGGTGAACGATGTCCCGAGGGCGAGGGCCGAACATGCAGCAAGAATAGAAGAAGATTCCTCTCTCCGACGGGAACTAGCAGCTGCCAACAAAGTCATAGACGAGCATAAAGACAAGTTCAAGGCTTTGGCGAATATGTTCGATCTTATGATGGAGACCTCGAACCCAAACCCGACGGTTGCCAATGCATGGCAAGCTCTACGTCCGAGCTTTAACCCCGACTCCACTCCGGAAGAGCAAGTGGATATGGATCGACGTGCGGAGCAGCACTCTTCTGAGTTCTTCCAAAACATGAACCTCAACAAAACACCTTAGTTTTTCGGTTTTTTGTTTGAATACTTTATATATTATTTTAATCAAATATAATTTTATATATATATTTTTAAAATTTATTAATTTTTTTAAAAAAAATCGAATTAAAAACCAAAAATTAAAAAAAAAAAATCAAATTAAAAAATCGTTTTATTTAAAAATAAAATCTAAATTGGTCGTAAATTAGTCTTTGATTTACGACTAATCGACAACAACTGTCGAAGTTACTTAGTTGTAATATTACGACTAAGTAACTACTAATGTTTACGACTCATGAACTACTACACGCATTACGACTACTTAACTACTAACTTTATTACGACTAATTAACTACTAAGAAATTTACGACTACGTTACGACTACGAGTGTCACCTCAACTTTACGACTAATGCCTTAGTCGTAATATTACGACTAGGTTAGGACTACGGCGTGTAGTCGTAATGTTACGACTACGTTACGACTAATTGTGCATTACGACTAGCGAATAACGACCAATTGGTTTTCGATGTTAATTGGTCGTAAATGGCATATTATGACTAATTAACAACCAATAGTGTAGTCGTTAGACACATGTTTTCTTGTAGTGTTTATTGTACCTTGTAATAAGTATAAAATGTATACATTTATTTGTATGGTAAAGAAAACACCTAGACAATAACATCAAATGTTTAATGAGATTTTCTTATCAAGTGGTTTGAGTTAAATTACTATGATAAATGTTTATGTAACAAATTGATGAATCCAATAATGGAATAATCATTTGCTTATATGTTGATGACATATTGATCTTTGGCGCTTTCCATAGAGAAGTAGAGCTTACAAAAGCATTATTGTCAAAGTTTTACAATGAAAGACATGGGGGAGGTGGTTGTGATTCTTGAAATTTGAATCACACGTACAAATAAAAAAAAACTATCTTTAACAAAATTTCATTATATTGAAAAGTTTTTAAGAAGTCTAATTGTGAGATTGTTCTCTAATGAGAACTCCCATGGATGCGAATGTGAAGTTTGAACCTTATAGAGGACAATAAATATCACAGCTCGAGTGTTGAATGGAACCATTAATTATGGTTTGTTATATGTCAGATTTCCTTCGATGGTGGAAAGGTATTTAAATGCAAATTTGATTATCAATATAGAAGTTCATTCTTCTATAAGTGGTTGAGTGTTTTTTTGGGGAGGTGCCATTTCATGGGCTTCTAAGGAGCAAAGTTGCATGAAAATAATGTGACTATAAAATAGAAATTTGTAGCATTAGCATATGCTGGTAAATAGGCATATTGGATAAAGATTGTAATTTATGAGATTCTATTGTGGCTGAAATAGTATCACCAGTTTCTATCTTTAATAGTTAAAAAGTCTTGGTTAAGGTTTATAACTAAGTATATAATGGTAAGTCGCGACACCTGGCATTAGATATAGCGCAATATGTGAGCTGATCACTCAGGGGGCGATTATCAAAGAGGTTGTTCAGTCTGAAAAAAAGGTAGCATATCATTTGACGAAATGATTAGCTAGAGACTTGGTAGTTGAGTCTGTTCAAGGGATGAGTTTAAAGTCCATTTGAAATTTTTAATGGTGGAATACCCAATTCCCCTCTAATACGCCGTTAGAGGCTGAATTTAATGTGGAAAGCCTACACTTAAAGATTGAAGCACATTTTTTATGTCATCCCAAGGTATGTACTTGGACCTGCAAGAAGGGATATGATGAAATATTAGTCTTAATAAATACTTTGAAAAAATGAATTTGCAGGTGCATGAATGAAAGTATTTACCTATATGGATGTGAAGTGATGCCGCTTCAATTAGCTGAGACTTGGATTGTATACATTCATGAATGGATTATGATACATGGCTTATAATAAAGTCGAGTAAACACTTAAAGTAGTGTGGAAACACGTGTGTGTATTATCTTCATGTGCTCAAAATGGGTTGATGGATTCACTCCATAGGACATCCTAATTCTCGGGCATTTGGAATGTGTATTATACTAAGATGAAAATTCAATTCTTCGAACATTTTCATTTAAGCATGAGTTTGATATATGTATTATTGATTAAATGAATCTATTAGTACACTTAAACGAGGAAGGATTGTTGGATATTTAAATGACTACATGCAATGTAACATTATATATCTATATATGACTAGATGCATGTATCATTTTATATTGACTAGATATAATGTATCATTATATACTGAAATAATTAGATTCAATGTATCATGTGAATCATTGCAATTATTTGTATGAACAACTGCAACTATTTAGTGAATCTTTGCAACAATTAAAGTGAAGCATTGCAATTGTTTAAATGAACAAATGCAAGTGTTTGTGATTGTAACTACTAGTGATGAACCGTTGCAATCTTTGGTGATAAATCTTTGCAACTATTGATGATTAAAACCTTTGGTGAATAATGATTGTGACTTTTGGCTAACCATTGCAATTGTTGGTGCTAATAGTTGTAAATATTGGTGCTAACCATTCCAACCCTTCATACTCTATATAAGGAGTTGTTGGCAATGACAAATTACAACTGGAATCACAACTTGATAACTTGAATCATAAGAAACATCATAAACTAGTTAGTAAAAAAAAAAAGATTCATTGTTCAAAGCTCATCAAAGATCTTTGAAAAAACACATATAAGCATTAAAGTTCTATTTGTTATTCTTGTATTTTAATCTAGAACAAAAATGTGATTTTGATTGTCTTATCCTACAAATGGATTTCGTGTAATCCAAAAATTTGGAATAGAGTCAAAATATCTTAAAAGAAAAAGCATGGCGATTCAGCATTATCCAAGTATGTAATTCACACCCATACAGGTTACCAATACCCAAGTTAACCAACATTGAAAACATAAAGATTCGGTCTTTTCCTCTCTTCTTCATCAGACAGTCTAGCGGAAACAAATGTTACTATCCTAACAAAAGCCTCAACAATGGTTAAATGACTGCCAATCTCCACATGGATTGGAAGCTGATCCTTTGAATTTGGATCCAATAAAAGACATTGACATTCAACGACAATGCTCTTCACTAGTTCAATATTACTCCATGTAGCAGCAAAATGAACAACATAATCTCCTCATACTAATGGCGTTCCAGGCTTCTCAACTTCTCCAAACATTCTTTTCAACATCACTCAGTGCGCTAAACATTTATAGACTCATTGTAATATATTTACCAAAGAGTTAGAGAAGATCCGTAAATCTGAGCTTGATAAAGAACTCCGCCACACACTTGAAGGGAAACTTGTGAACAGAGTGAGCGTGAACTCAATAATGCAAATAAGTATACCACTCCAAGAAACATTGTCCAGTACTGTGGATCAGTCCAAGAACTTTCAATTCCTTCGGCTTTCATTCATTTTGTCCTAATTGACATCGTTTTCCATAAATTGGGTACACATAAACTATGGTGAATAAAAGAAATGTTATGACACTTAATATATCCTTGAAACAGAGATTTTTCAGTTTAAAACTATCATTCTTTAGAACATGTATAAACCACCCTTTATTCCCTTTGCATACAACAAACGCTCTCAGGATAGAAACTTCATCACGACAAGTTTTAGAACATGTGACAAAAGCTTACCTTTGTGTTCATCAAAAGTTGCAGAGTGGAACCATCTAGTCTAAAGATTGATCACTAATTTCTAAAACCGACAGTAAAAATAACATGACATCATATTATTTATCCATGTCTAGATGTTCAGTGAAGAAGAAAAGATACAATGGAAGAAGCAGATAGCTACAACACAAATTACAGAGAGAATGAGAGAACACAAGACAAGAGGGGGGAGAGAAACAGATCTCACTGCAAGAACTTGTCAATGCTAGAAGTGAGCGTAGATTTAGGCACCGCACCTATGATAGCATCCTTCTTCTCGCCATTGACAAAGATCATAATCGTTGGGATGCTTCTAACATTGTACTTGCTTGGTGTTGCAGGAGAGTCATCAGTGTTCAGTTTGTAGAACTTGACCTTCCCGGTGTAGTCTCGTGCTAGCTCGTTCACCAGCGGGTCAATCATTTTGCAGGGTCCACACCATGGTGCCCAAAAGTCGACAAGAACAGGCCCGTCCGCCTTGAGAACTAGAGAGTCCCATGTCGTGTCGTTGACTATCGAAACTACTATTGACCATCCAATAAACAAAAATAACCTTTAGAATTGAGCAAAATGTTATTCATCCAATGTTCTCATATCCATGCGATTTAACCGGTAAACCCGTATATAATCCGGTTTGGAATCAAGTAATAGATTAAAACAAAAAAAACAAATGGAACAAGAGATAGAGTAGAGCTTAGGACATACTATCTGTAGTGGTTTCCTGAGCCTCAGAGACGATGCGTCTTCGCTGTAGTCGAAGAACCTTGGAGGTCAACGAAGGAGGAGAGTGGGAAAGACGGATTCTCAATCCTGATGATTCAGGCGAGACGGTGAACATCCGCCGAACAGAGAGTGAAGCCAAGGGAGAGGATGATGCGATTCTGGACTCAGAACGGAGGGAAACGGGAGGAAGAGAGGTACAAGTGAAAGCAGCCATGGCTAAGAGAGAGATGGGAGAGAAGAAGCAACGAGAGATCTTCCTAATCCCAAATGTAAAATAATATCTAGATAACAAAACTGTGGAAGAGAAAGTGTGGTAGCAGAAACTGAAACAGATTTTTTTTTTTTCTTTTTTTTTTGTAACAAATAAAAGCCTTCTTTATTTTATCTTTAACTGAAAATATAATTAAAAAAATTGTAGGCCATATGGATTTTAACAATGTGTAAGCCCATATAGCTGTGGAAAGATAAGCCCATGTTCATATGACTGACTCTCTTGAGTTTGTTTCGTAAGAAGCCTATTAATATTTGGAGCTTAATTTTTTTTTTTTCTAAATATTTGGAGCTTAATAAAAGAGAAAACAGATGGGAATCTATACTATTATATAAGAAGTAAATTTGCATAGTTGTCAACTTCTCCTTGATTTTAGGTAAATTTGTATATTTACCTTATTTAAATAATTTCATATATAATTTATTATTTAATAAAAACGAATTTAAATTAATAATATTATGTTTTCAAAAATATGTTAATTATTTTGTATTAAATTGTTAGCTTAAAAATATGTTTTTTATTATAAATTCAAGTGAATTTACTGATTGATTTGTACATTCTTCATTATTTTTGTAATTTTGTTTATTTGTTATATTTTTGATAATTTTATGAATAATTTATCATATACTAAAACAAATTTCTATTAATAATATTATAGAAAATAAGATATTTCTTATGTATTTTATTGTTATCTTTAAATCTATACTATTATTTGAGAAGTAAATTTGCTTAGTTGTCAACTTCTCCTTGATTTTAGGTAAATTTGTATATTTACCTTATACTATTATATAAGAAGTAATCTATACTATTATATAAGAAGTAAATTTGCTTAGTTGTCAACTTCTCCTTGATTTTAGGTAAATTTGTATATTTACCTTATTTAAATAATTTCATATATAATTTATTATTTAATAAAAACGAATTTAAATCTATACTATTATATAAGAAGTAAATTTGTTTAGTTGTCAACTTCTCCTTGATTTTAGGTAAATTTGTATATTTACCTTATTTAAATAATTTCATATATAATTTATTATTTAATAAAAAACGAATTTAAATTAATAATATTATGTTTTCAAAAATATGTTAATTATTTTGTATTAAATTGTTAGCTTAAAAATATATTTTTATTATAAATTCAAGTGAATTTACTGATTGATTTGCACATTCTTCATGATTTTTGTAATTTTGTTTATTTGTTATATTTTTAATAATTTTATGAATAATTTATCATATACTAAAACAAATTTCTGTTAATAATATTATAGAAAATAAGATATTTCTTATGTATTTTATTGTTATCTTTAAATCTATACTATTATATAAGAAGTAAATTTGCTTAGTTGTCAACTTCTCCTTGATTTTAGGTAAATTTGTATATTTACCTTATACTATTATATAAGAAGTAATCTATACTATTATATAAGAAGTAAATTTGCTTAGTTGTCAATTTCTCCTTGATTTTAGGTAAATTTGTATATTTACCTTATTTAAATAATTTCATATATAATTTATTATTTAATAAAAACGAATTTAAATTAATAATATTATGTTTTCAAAAATATGTTAATTATTTTGTATTAAATTTTTATCTTAAAAATATTTTTTTTATTATAAATTCAAGTGAATTTACTGATTGATTTGTACATTCTTCATGATTTTTGTAATTTTGTTTATTTGTTATATTTTTAATAATTTTATGAATAATTTATCATATACTAAAAAAAAATTCTATTAATAATATTATAGAAAATAAGATATTTCTTATGTATTTTATTGTTATCTTTAAAATATATTTTTTACCATAGAAATTAAAATTAAGTTAAATATTAATAGTTAAATAAGAAATGCTGATTTATCAACTTCTCCATGGTTTTATATTTTGCTTATTTATCATATTTTAATAATTTCATATATTTTACTAGATTTAAAAAATAAGATAATGCTTATGTATTAGATTGTTATCTTGAACATATATTTTCTATTAGAAAATTTAAGTGAATTATCTGATTTGTAATTTCTCCATGATTTAGATAATTTTGATTATTTTTCATATTTTTAATAATTTCATATAAAATTTATTATAAAAAAAAATGAATTTATATTAAAAACTATATTTTGAGAAAATAAGATATTTCTTATGTATTATATTGTTATCTTAAAATATATTTTTATTATAGAAATAAAAAATTAAGATAGAAAAACTTATAATTAAAATAAATTAAAGCAACACATGTGTAAAAATATATTTATAAAAATATTTTGTTATGTGAGTGTTGTCATTTATAACTAATTTTAAAACATAAATCATAACTTATTATATTGGTTTGAATTAATAAAATACAGACTAATAATAAATTGTACGAAAATTATGCTCGCATGTGCGGGCAAAACACCTAGTTGATGTATTATATTTATTCATAAGCAAAGAGCATAAAATAAAGAACAGGAAGAAGAATTTGGATTCTCAACTGATTTTCCTATGTAATTTGCAGCTTTTAAATTATTTTTTTTGCTGTTGATATTAAGTTTTTTTTTTTCACTTGAGATTAAATAAATTAAAAAGATAGAAGCCCAACAAATTACATGACCCAATAGAAATTGGACCCAACAAAACTAACTAAGAGGGCCTTAGGCCCAACTTATGAAAACCCTAGCACCATAGCGCAAAGGACGCCGACAGCCGCCACACAGATCAGAAAAAGAAAGGACGAGGACCGTCGCGTCACCAGTACATCTCGCTACCACCGGCGAGCCAAAGCTCCGTTCGCCACCGGAGCATCAAAACTCCGCACATCTTCACCATAACCACTTACAAACTCATGGGGACCAAGATCAGAGAGAATCAATCACCGTGGCGAGGTCTCATCCGCCAGTTTACAGTACAAAACCATCCAAGAGAAAGCATAACACACAGCAAACTCCAATACCGTTGGAGAGCTTCATCATCCTCCGACGAGATCTCATGCAATACATCCAACCGAGACCACAGAAATAAAAACGAAAACAAAAGAAAAAAACTACATCTTAAAACAAGTCTAAGAAACAAAAGTCAGGAACGCAAGGCAAGGGATGCCTTCACCCCCCGGAAGAAAAGCCGGCGACGATGGAACTTTGAGAGTCTCCACCTCCCGGAGTCAGAGCCGGCGACACGGAGCTAAGTGAGCCTCCACACCCCCAGAAGCCTAAGCCGACCATTCACCTTAATAGAACAGGTGTTAAGGCGGAAACAAAAACCGACCGGCCACTGTAAAGAAGGTGCGCCGACGGAACCAAGAAGAAGCAACACATTAATAAACAGGAAAACCGACAATAAATCTAACAACCAAATCCCAACCGACGACGTGTCTGTGGAAACCCACCGTCGTCGATCGGAAAACTTGAATGAGATCTATTTTCTCTCTTGAAGAAAGTTGACCTTTTTCTTCTATAGTTCTTTCATTTTAATTGAGTAATTCATAATTAATAAATTGAAGATTATAATAGTTTTTTTATGCATGGACATCGGATCTTTGGATATAGTTTTGGTGGTTCATTTCGAATCCAGATCTGTCAAATCCTTAACTTCCACAGTAAGGATTTACGCCTGTTCGGATATATAACTAAAATATTTTATCATTTTCGATTCTATAGCGGATCTGATCAATTCAGGTATTTAAGACAAAGGAGATTTAAAATATCTCAACTTCTTCAAACTTTAGACTGGAGACCAGTTGTTATTTTTTTTTATTACTGTGGAAGTTGTTGATCGTCTATAATATTTTGACATGCCTGAAATCTGAAAATTTAAATTTAATAATCATTTTTCGTATAGTTTAAATCCGAAAACAAGAGAAACCAACTAGGCTGGACACAAATGCTAGATACTTGGCATGTATTCGCTGGTTGACTCGGTTTAGTTTGAAAAAACAAATACTTACTCCAATCAAGTCGAGTAACAAGTAAACGGATTTTATTACTTGCAAGTACAAGTTAAGTATCAAGTTCATTTTAATTTTTAACTACTTGGTTTGTTATTTGGTTTATTACTTGTTACTTGTCATATATTACTTGGTTTATTAAATACTTAGTATATATTTCATTAATTAATTAAAATTATGTATTTTATGAGTGCTCACAATTATTTGTTACTTGTCTCATGTTTACTATTTTGTTGGTACACGATCTTTAAAGTCAAATACTTGTTTTGACTAATACGTGTATCAAATAGTCTATTTAAACTGTTTTCAAATACAAACAAATACAAAATAATAAAATAAAACTAATTATTCAGCGTTATTTGGTTTATTGTTCGTTTTTATAAATGAACAAAGATACATTTTCCTAAATTATAGTAAAACAGCTCATTTATATTTCAATTTTTACAAGTGAATCAAACATAAGTGATATATCTATACAAACATTTTGAATTTTTTATTTCTTAATATACTTTATTTCACGAATGACTAAAAATATAAAAAATGACATATTATTATATATAATAAATTTATTTATTTTTAATTTTAACTAATTATTGAATAATTTACCAATAGTTATCAATTAATTTGTAAAAAAATTATAAGTAACAAGTAATAAAACAAGGCAAATAATTTGCAAGTCCATCAAGTTTTCGCAAATAATTGAAATTGCAAGTACTCATTTTTAACAAACCAAATACAAGTCAAAAAATTGAATACACATATAATCCAAGTCGAATACTAAGTATACTGAAAATACCAAGTACTCAGCTTGTGCCCACCCCTAAAACCAACCTCTTGCATCCAACACTTTGGTGACCAATTTTCAGATGCTTATCCATATCAACTCTTTGTTTGTTTTTATTGTTTATCATCAGATCCGATCCAAATTTCATAGCTGTTTCTGCATAAATAAATTATGAATATTTTAGTTTGACCACAACACTACTCTGTCTGTTTTGACCATTCTGACTTGGATCCTTTTGGCTCCTTTACAGGAAAAAAAAACAGACAAATTTCAAACTGAAAAAGTTTTATAGCAGTTAAAGCCACGTGTCAGGAAGTCGTTAAGGACCCAACGTGTTTTTACAAGATCAATCAATCATTTGCGACTGATCTAACGGGAAACGTTCGTAAGTTTAATTAATTTAAAAAATTCAACTACCCATCACCATCGTCTCTCGCAACTCTTCTGATCTTATCATTATATTAAATCCGTATAGTCAATTCTCAATAATAACTCAGAGAAAGCTACTAGGTCCTTGGCGCTGCTTTGATTTCGATCAAGAAAGAAAATGGAAGATCCTTTGATTGGTAGAGAGAGTCGTCGTGGTGGTACGGATCGGATCGTCCGTCGTTCAGAAGCTATCACCCATGGTTCCACGTTTCAGATAGCTGCTGCTCTCGTCGATCTGGTTTCTCTTCTATCTCTTTAAACCCTAGCTCTGTTCTGGTTTCTTCTCGAATAAGTTTCTATATATGCATCTTTCTACGACCGTTACATCATGCGGTTTTACTTTGTACCATGTTTCTTTGTCTTTTGTGAGCCTTTTTACTTTTGTGTCAAAAGGAGATTTTTGGATTGAACATTATATATTTATGTGGTTGTTTTGTAGGCTGAAGATGGTATTGGTCTTCCTGAGCAAATACTTGACCAGTCTAGCTTCGGAGAGGCTGCAAAGTACTACTTCATCTTCACACGATTGGATATCATCTGGTCACTCAACTATTTCGCTCTAATTTTGTTAAACTTCTTTGAGGTCATCACTTTTTTTTTTTAATTATAAGCTATGTCTTGAGCTATGCACTAACCTTGTAAAAGAAGTAAAAGAAATTGTAACACTCTTGTCTTTTGCAGCAACCATTGTGGTGTGAGAATAAGCCTACGCCGTCTTGCAAAGACAGAGATTACTATTATCTCGGCGAGTTACCTTACTTGACCAATGCAGAATCCATTATCTTTGAGGCAAGTATTGAACTTCTGTCTCCTTAACCTTTCATTTCCACTATAGATGTTACATCCACTATAGATGTTACATATGTATCCACTTGAAAGTTCAAAACTTGTAATTAATGTATTATGTACATCCTATAAAGACTAGTTTATCTTCTAGTTCTTTGTATTTTTTTACTTGTCAAAATGGGTACTTACTCTGCTTATCTTTCCTGGTGTCTATTGTTGGGACATGTAATGTATTTTTGACATTCTGAGAAGACTATTATCTTGCATGGTGTCTATTGCTGGGACTGGCAAGGATCCTTTTTAATGTGCTGAAAATCTTATATTTTGATTTGTCAAAATAGGTTCTTACTCTGCTTATACTACTTGTGCATACGTTTTTTCCAATCTCCTATGAAGGGTCCCGAATCTTTTGGACAAGTCGCTTGAACCTAGTCAAGGTATTCCCTTACAAGCCTCTTCACTGTCTCTTGCTTGGACAGACCTAAGATCTTGATTTCTTCTTTTTAACATATAATAGTTTGTCTTTTTCTTGATTCCAGGTTGCTTGTGTGGTAGTTTTGATTGTTGACGTGCTGGTTGACTTTCTATACCTATCTCCACTGGCTTTTGACTTTCTTCCTTTTAGAGTCGCCCCATACGTGAGAGTTATCATATTCATCCTCAGCATAAGGTATCAATATATTTTTATGCTTCTTGTATATCAAATGGTAATGCATGGACCATGTCTTCACATCTATAGACAGTGATTTGAGTAGATCATGCTATGTATGATGAAAGTCAACGTCTGTTTGTTTCACCTATATTTGAGTATCTTTAAATTTATGTACAGGGGACTTTAACTTTTATATTAATTCATAGCTTTTATGTATAATTTAAATTAATAATATTACATTATTTTAGTAATATATAATTCTAGATATATTATATTTAGTCAGTTTTATCATTTGGATATATATATATATATATTGGATTATATCTATTTCTCTGAATTCAATTATAATTTTTTTATTCTAAATATTTTAAATTTTTGATTAATTGTTTTACATTTATGTTGGTTGTTATCTTAGAAATATAAGTATATCTTAGTAAAATTAAGTATTTTAAGATTTTTTGTGCTTAGAACGAAAAAATAAAAACTAAAGTGTCTGATTCTAAATTACATACATAAGTAATAATAAATTTTTGGAAACTTATGAACAGATATCAATATTTACAATAATTAAATATTTTATAAATTTTAAATATTTTATGCCTTAGATTGATTGGATGGTAAACTGAAATTTGTTTTAAATAATTTTAAAAATAAAGAATTATGATTTGTTTAAGTATTTTGATTATGGTTATATTTAATTCCATAAACATAAAAACAGAAAATTAAACATCAAAAGAGTTAATATATCTACCTCGTTAAATTATATAGTGTTATGATATTTTAAAAGAAATGTAGTTATTTGATCAAAAGATGTTTATTATTAAATTTATTTTTAGTTTTTTTTAATATCTCTTAAAATATGCAGTAAAAGTGTGATTGTTTTTGAGGAATTATATTATATAATTAAATAAATTTATATTTTTTTCTGTAACTTTAAGATATTATAATCAAATAAATATACAAATTATAAGTTTTTTTTTGTCAATTAAACATATATCAATTTATGTTACTTAATTATTTTATGTAATCATCTAATAAAATAGATAGATATACACAAAAACTAATTACTTTGAAAATATACATTTTATTTTATAAATTATTTTTTTAAGAAAAAATATTTCTTTTTCTAATATCAAGATTATTTGTATGAACATTTTTTATGAAAACACATTACATACAAATATTTGTTCATCTTAAGAAGATATAAATATAAAGTATAATTACTTAAAAAGTATTATTTATGTTATTTAAAAATATATTTAAGTTAAATATTACTATTTTGTAAACTTTCCTTTTTTTATGAAACCATATTATATATATACTTATTTTTTCGTTTTTAAATAGTTTTGTAAATTTTATAAATATTTCCATTTTGTTTTATATTGTTATTTGGAAGATTTTAAAAAGGAAATAATAATATTTAAATATATTTTTAATTCATTAGGGGTATCATAGTAATCAACCAGCGTGAGAGTTAACGTGAGCGCGACACCTAAGAAAGTGACTTCTCAAATAATATTATAGAGATATGTGTTCTCATCGTCTCCGTTTCATGTTTATAACAGAGAACCGGGGAGATTAATAAGGAGCAATGCATTAAACTCTTTGAACAGTTGACTAATTACAGGTATATTTCTATGCTCTTCTGTATTTCACCATGTACCAAAAGAACTGTATGCAGTAGTTATCCACTTGTTCATGGTATCTTCCTTTTAATTTTGTTAATTTTTGAGACCTGATATTGTCTGTATATTCAGGACGTTACCAAAGATATCAAAAGAAGAATTCGGATTGATATTTGATGAGCTTGATGATACTCGTGACTTTAAGGTATAAATCAACAAAGGAACTCTTTGGTGGCTCAAATTAATGATCAGATTACTTTAGTTGTATTCTGTTTGTTTCTTGTTGAGTAGATAAACAAGGATGAGTTTGCTGACCTCTGCCAAGCCATTGCTCTAAGATTCCAGAAGGAGGAAGTTGTAAGTCTACGTAATTTTATTTCACTATTCTTTTGAAATTTAATTACCCACACCATATGTTTACATTAACCATATCATGTGTGTATTTTTACTGCAGCCATCTCTCTTTGAAAATTTCCCGCATATTTACCATTCTGCCTTATCACAACAACTGAGAGCTTTTGTCCGAAGCCCAAACTTTGGCTACACTATTTCTTTCATCCTTGTTCTGAACTTCATTGCTGTCGTTGTTGAAACAACGGTATCTTTTGTCCCTAATATAAAGTGTATCTCCTTGGTCCTTGGCATGTACTTTGAAAGTTTTTTTTTCACAAGCATAGGTCTTTGTATGCAGCTTGATATTGAAGAAAGCTCTGCTCAGAAGCCCTGGCAGGTTGCAGAGTTTGTCTTTGGTAAGAACTTAATTATTACCTTCTCTCCACTTACAATTTTTTGAATTTTTCTAATATTTCGATGCTTTAGGAAGTGTACAATCTATGGTTATGTTACTCGTAAATGTGATTAGTTGATTATTTTTAATGTTTTCTCAGGTTGGATATATGTGATGGAGATGGCTCTGAAGATCTATTCATATGGGTTTGAGAATTATTGGAGGGATGGTCAAAACCGGTTTGATTTTCTAGTAACATGGGTCATAGGTAAACCTTTTGAAGCAGCAACTTCATCATTTTTTTTGCTGATTGAATGATTGATGGCTATGCTATAATATGATTGATAATCTTTGCATGCGCGCGCAGTTATTGGAGAAACTGCTACTTTCATAACTCCAGATGAGAACACTTTCTTCTCAAACGGAGAATGGTGAGGAATAACTATGACATGTTTGTTAAAATGGTTGTGTTTTATATCTCTACAAAATTCTAACTCTGTTTTCTTCTGTCATTTATAGGATCCGATACCTTCTCCTTGCAAGAATGTTAAGACTCATAAGGCTTCTTATGCATGTCCAACAATACCGAGCATTTATCGCGACGTTCATTACTCTCATTCCAAGTTTGATGCCATACTTAGGCACCATTTTCTGTGTGCTGTGTATCTACTGCTCTATTGGTGTACAGGTAAATCATACTACTAACTCTTTTTCATGCTTACATATGTCTTTGTCTTTGTTTTTTCATTTACTAAACCTTTTATAGTTACACTGATTTTTCTAGCCCTGTTTTATTTCCTTTAACATAAATAAAACTTTCTTGGGTTCATTTGTTGATAGGTATTTGGTGGGCTTGTGAACGCTGGGAACAAAAAACTCTTCGAAACCGAGTTGGCTGAGGATGAGTATCCTTTAATTTTCTGTACTCAACGCCAGTACTTACTTGGTACATCTGTTATGTTGCTGTAGTGGCTTAGTCTTTATTCCAATATATGATTGTTTTCTTGACTATAGAAACTCAGTTATCTACTGTTCAACTTCAATGACTATCCCAACGGAATGGTCACGCTCTTCAATCTGCTAGTGATGGGGAACTGGCAAGTCTGGATGGAGGTAATATCACTTTGTTAGTTTCTATCAAGAAGCATTGATAGATGTGATTATAAACAGCTTCCTTCTATTGCCAATCACTATGGTGCAACTCTTTAATCTACTCTTAATGATGTGTTCTTTAGAGCTACAAAGATTTGACAGGGACGTGGTGGAGCATTACCTATTTCGTCAGTTTCTACATCATCACTGTTTTACTTTTGTTGAACTTGGTGAGATTAAATAATTAACACCAAATTGGCTGTGGTTGTTGTAAGAAAACCAAACTTGTCTTCACTAACTATTGCTTGATTATTTGTTCCAGATTGTTGCCTTTGTCTTGGAGGCGTTCTTTACTGAGCTGGATCTTGAAGAAGAAGAAAAATGCCAAGGACAGGTTAGTTATTACTCTAGCTTTCTTCGAATTTCCATAACGTTACTTCACGGACATGAACATATGACATGGAGATTGCGGAAGTGTAAGAGCACCATCAACGCCCGTATTTAAGTGGGTTTTTAGAGAAAAAGTGAGCTGTGGGTCCCAGAAGAAAGTGAGATACGTTTGTTTCTGGCGCAAAATAGGATACGGTTTGTGCATTGATTCGCGGGCTCCACTGCCACGTGGCGGTCCACGATTAGTGTCTTTTTAAATTTTTTTTTTTAATAAAAAAAAAGTAAAAAAAAAAATATTAAAAAAAAAAATTGAAAACCCGCTATACGGTCTTCGCGTTGAGGCTGCTCTAAGAGCACCATCAACGCCCGTATTTAAGTGGGTTTTTAGAGAAAAAGTGAGCTGTGGGTCCCAGAAGAAAGTGAGATACGTTTGTTTCTGGCGCAAAATAGGATACGGTTTGTGCACTGATTCGTGGGCCCCACTGCCACGTGGCGGCCCACGATTAGTGTCTTTTTAAATTTTTTTTTTTAATCAAAAAAAAGTAAAAAAAAAAATATTAAAAAAAAAAATTGAAAACCCGCTATACGGTTTTCGCGTTGAGGCTGCTCTAATGACATAACGGATGTTATTGTTGCAGGATTCTCAAGAAAGAAGAAACAGGCGTCGATCAGCAGGGTATGTAGAGAGATATCAAATCTTGATTTTTGTCTTTATTTTACAGCAGATACTTAGAAAAAATCTAACGCTTATTTTCCTTGTTTATGAAATGGTTAAAAGGTCGAAGTCTCGAAGTCAGAGAGTTGATACACTTCTTCATCACATGTTGGGGGATGAACTCAGCAAACCAGAGTGTTCTACTACTGATACGTAATATAGCTTGTTCAAAGGTCAAAATCTTGGAAGCATTGTTAATTATGTGATACTGATACTGTTTGTTTGTTGAAGATTTGACTATAACGATTGTGTTGTGAGAAAAAAAAGAAACGATTGTGTTTACTTGTTAATGCGTAGTCTTTAGAGTCTGTAATAATGACTATCGATTTTCTTACTTGGTGAAACTTATCGACTTTTTAAACTGTAAGTATCAAATGTCTAGAAACTGGAAACGGAGAACACCACTCTATAGGAGAATCATGTATCTGGAATTCTGCCAATCCAATAAACAACATATATTTTCTCTTATTACCATAGATATTACCATAGATAAAGTGTCTTTTTGATTAAAATAATTTAATTTTTTTAAAAGAATAGTATTTCATATTGTAAATACAATTAATCTGTACTATATTTGAGAAAAAATACTTATTTGTCATATTCTCCATAATTTAAGTAATTTTGTTTCTTTATCATGTTTTTATGATTTTGATTAATGAATCATTAATTTAACTTTATATTATTATTTTAACTTTATAAAATAAATAGAAATAAGGATTAAGATATAATTCTAAATATTTTACTTGATCCAATCTTTAATATAATAGAATATTTTCAAACTATTTTCTGAATTTGACACAAATACTAGATATATATATATATATATATATATCACAGTTCATATAATCTATCTTTTTAAAAAAAATTAACTTATTTTCTTAGTTACGAAATGTATGTATTAAGATGATTAATATAATGTGATAAAATTTAATGTTATTATTCTATTATTAACTAATCATAAGTTCTCTATCGATTTTTATTAACACATTTGATTTATCAGACTATTATAAATTTTAAATATATACAAAACTTACTTATCAGAAGTAGTATTTAAAAGATATTACTACGTGATATCGCGAAAAATCATCTAGTATATAATAAAATATGTTTCATTGTTGTAAATAAAGATATGAAAATTGATATTTAGAATATATATATATATATATATATATTATATATGTATATTCTAAATATGAATATCTATATATCATTAAGAAACAAACAAGTTATATATTATATACTAATTTATATATGAATCATTTAGTACTCTACTATTTACGTTATTAAATATATTCATGAGAGCATATTCCAGCACATTGCTCCTATAGCATAATACTAGGTACTAATCTGCGCCTTATGCGGAGTAAGAATATTAGTTTCATTTTTTTAATAAGAAGACATTAGTTATGTTTACTAGTTGCATATTCCCCGCGCAAGCGCGGGGCCGGGATCATTATGTTTGCGTGTATTTTTTTCGATTGTTGGTTTAGTGGATTCTTCTAATGACACCAATTAATAATGAAATGCAAAATTTCATGTTTTTATGTCGTATGTCAAAACTTGATATAATTCTATATTTATAGTATTTATATTTGTATTAAACGATTTATCAATATGAAAATAACCTTAATTAAGTTAATATTCGTTGTTTAAGTTTCATTAGATAGGTTTTTATATATGGGTTTTTTGTAAGTTTCGGTTTTGTTCATAAATGATGTGGCATTTTTATCTACGGAGTCATCGACTGTGGGAATTCATTCGCCGAAGTCTGGAGTCGGTGGTGAGAAATGTTTTCAATGAAATTATAGTAGTTATTAAAATGTAAGAGAAATTACATATTCATTTAATAAATAACTTACTTAAATTTTGTTGTTTATTT